CTAAGATTACAAGTTCCACCAACTCCATATTGTGGAGGCTATCACTGCCACTAGTATCACAAGTACTTATCCCAAGTCTCATCTGAAACTCCAAGTACTGAAAAGTCTCATGAGCTGTCCTCTTCTTGCTATCAAGGCAGATTTTTTTTCTGTTACTAACTTTGTTAAATTGAGCTTGTTAGACCATTTTTTCCCTATTTATTAAGACACACACATGATCATGCCTTACTAGACTATGGTCTGAATGGGATTCTCAAATTCTCCTGAGTGTCCTATCAGGTTGCTGAAAGGCAGTAAAGCATGGGATTTGCACTGCAATGTTCTTAAAAGTCATTTTAATAGCAGCAAGAAGAAACAAAGCTCAACTGAAAAACACCCTAAAGGCAATTCTAATCCCATGTGTTAAAAAGCTCTGGCTCAGGTCAGGCTCACTGCTGCAAGCAAGCTACATGCTTGTGTGCTCCACGTAGCATACACATGTTCAATCATTCCTTGAATAACTTCCTGTGCAGCCTGCACTGAGACCCCATTGCCTCTTCAGCAGAAGACACCAGACCCGGGTGGTTTGGATGAGCAGCCACTTCAGCTGTGCAGCTGGGGTGAAGTAAACATGCTGAGAGATGACTGAAACTAGAGATCAAAGTACTGTCAAGCAACACAGAACAGATCCAACCACTCCCTTAAATAAAAACATGAAACCTTTCTCCCTCCCCAAATCACCCAGTGCTGCTAGTATTAATGGCTTCACTGGCTGAAGTAACAGTAACAGCAGTAACTGCTGAAAAGTGGCTAGATTTCCTAGATAGTGTTATCAGCATTTGACAGTATAGTGAAACATGAAATTGTAATCAATGTACAATGTCATCAGTCCCACAGAGCTTCTATCAAGCTTATCAACAGGGTACCAAAAATTATTTATTGGTTCTGTATTTCCTATGCTGTCAGATCTTACTGTAACAGAGCTGAATTTTGGTAGACTCTGCACTACAGAAGACAAGTCGCATCAGATTAAGTAGAGGGGTAGGAACAGCCTACATATTGTACATTCCAAAAAGTTAAATACACAGAAGAAACCTCTCAGGAGCAGTCAGCTACATCTGAAAACTAAGAAATGTGACATTTTTCTTGAAAAAGTAGCAGAATTGCTTTATATCCAGTACAAGATAGACAAGAGGAAATCCAAACAAGAACTGAAAATGTCAGACACAGGAGTCAAGGAAAAAAAGAGTTGGAATGAAACTAAGTCATCCCCTGTCCCCTAAAAAGCACTGTCAGATACAAGCATATTAGAAAGGTGAAATTACAGCAACACCAACATTCCTGTCTAATGTAATCCAAAGCTTATTCACTCTTTCAGTAACAAAGTATTTCCTGATGTATCAGCCTTATTTCACTTGCTGCAATGTAAGCCTGTGATTTTTTTCTTTCAACAGTCAAAAACATATTCTTCAAATAAATGAAAGATTTCCCCAAAGAGGAAAATAAACTTAACATTCCCTTTCCTAGAACACTGACCTTAAAAATAGCTAACATGTGGATTCTGTGCCTAAAGAAAAATGTAGTTCATCAGTGATTGCCAGAATTGATGTTTAAAATGTTAACGAGAACGGTGCTCAAACTTAAGTTTCAAGAGTGTAAACTACCTAGGAAACACAGGAAAAGGGGCAGTGAGAAAGATAAAGGATCACAGCGCAGACCAGAGATAAGTGAGCAAGTCAAATTAACACGTGGTTCAGATAAAGTTCACACTGCAAACTGCAGCACTACTGAGCAAACCAAGCTAGTTGGTACTGGAAGCAATGGACCTATGGTACTCCTACCATTAACTAAGCACAGGCTGATTTATGGTATTTTTCTCACTAACTAGCCCCCCACTAAACTGCACACTGCCATTGCTCAGCTACCTTTGATAAATGAGCTTACCTCAAACTAGCTAGCAGAGAGAACCTTTACTACAGTGCAGATTAAAGTCCTATGCTAAATAGTTAAAACAGTAAGCTAGAAAAACTAGCAACTGAAATGTACTAGAGGAAAGAAAAACTCTTCCATCTTGCTCACACTTTTTAGTTTTTTTCTTGTTTTATTTTTTGTGTTGTTCATTACGACAACGAACTCCACTTTTGAAAATACTGCTTTGAGTGTTTACAGGAGCTGGAGTTTCATTACAGTATAACATCATTTAGGAGGAAGGAGTCCCAATTTAGGCAACTTAAAAGCAGAAAACCTGCTTATCAGAATATAAGCACGGCCCTGAGAGGCCCATGCTATTCAGACTTTTCCACTGTCCTTTAATACTACTGTGGTTCTGTGCTGAAGAGCAAAAAACACTCTAGAACTTAAAAAACAAAATCTCATTGCAATGCAAACCTTCTGACTCAGGCAGAGAAAAAGCTAGGATGCAAGACTTGCTTAGTCTGTTTTGGCAGAAAGGCATATGGCTTCACCAGCTTGCTGAGAGAGAAAGTTTGTAAGAGCACTCTCTTTCACCCACAGGACAGAAATCTAGTCTTCTACTGTCATTTTTCTTACAACACGAATAGTTTTATTAAGAGCAGCAGGCAGCCTGGATCCAGCATGCATGGGAATTCATCCAGAAGATGAGTAAGTCAAAAAGCTATTCTCAGACACAGAACAGGCTTTTGGAAATGCATTACTTTAGTTCTAGGAGGAATCAAGGGTCTTTCAGTTAAAGCAAGAAATATTGTTCATATGGACAGCAAGAAGCTCAGCATATCCAGACACATTGTAATACTAGTGTTTTAACACATTTATAACAGAGTAAGTTCTCTCTCTGTATTCACCCAAAATGGTGCAGTTCTACTACGAAGTTAAATGTTAAATAAGCCACAATTTCTATTGCAATGGGTACACAGAGCAGCACTTCTATGAATGGGTGCAACAAACTACACCTGCATTTTTGCCATCTATAATGCACAGTAACAGCACCCCCTTTGCTTTCTTTGTTTAAAGCTTCTAACAGGACAGATTTATGAACTACAGCTAGATAAGTCTCACAATTGTCATCTGCCTTTAGTATCAAACTGTCTCCTTTTCTATAGGACTCAAGATTAATAATTTTTTCTCCAAGTTAACACTGGGACCAAAGACTGAGTTTCAGAACCCTGTCAGATCAGTTTGCAGTTCTGGAATTCCAAGCAAAACTGACTACTAAGGAAATACCACTTTTTCCCAACTTCAGCGAGTCATACAAAATGTCACCTCTACTTCAAACCCTTGTCTTCCAGCAAGATTAAGTAGTACATACACTGTAATCTCTCCATAACTATCCTCACTTCAAAGAGGTACATTCGGACTCTTGAATGCAAAACTTATTTCTGCCTTGTGGTCAGGAAGAGCTGACTACTTTGTGAAGCATCCTTAGCTTTGTTTTGTGCCGCACACAAGTCTGTTTTAAAACTTCCCCTGGTTTGACTCTTACAAGCCAGGGTCATCTTGATCTTATTAGTTTGGGGTCTTACCAAGCATACCTACAATATGCAATACAACATGATACAGATAATCCTTACATTTGTCAATGCTTCTGACAGTAGATTTGGTTTGCAGGCTTGCTACCACATCCGTGAAATTTAATGCCAGAGTCCCAGGAGGCCTTTCAGGTTATTAAGCCACATACCATATAAAAATGAAAACCTACGCAACAAGGGCATATCATCTGAAACCCACCTTTAGAAGTTGGGGAAACACTCTTTATCAGGGAGTGTAGTGAGAGGACAAGGGGTAATGGTTACAAGCTGAAAGAGGGCAGATTTAGATTAGATATTAGGAAGAAATTTTTCACTGAGAGGGTGGTGAGGCAGCAACCCAGGTTGCCCAGAGAAGCTGTGGATGCCCCATCCCTGGAGGGGTTCAAGGCCAGGCTGGATGAGGCTTTGAGCAACCTGGGCTAGTGGGAGGTGTCCCTGCCCATGGCAGGGGGGTGGTACTCCATGATCTTTCAGGTCCTTTCCAACCCTAACCATTCTGTGATTCTATGATTCTAAGTTAATATACAATTCCAAAAGTATACTTCTACAGCAGTGTAACAACTCTAAGAAACTTAAATCAATACTTATATTAATGCAAGATGTATTTGGCCTTAACAACAGACTACACATATTAGAATTATCTTTTCTTGAGGGATATTTCTTCAGGGATTTGAGAATATTATATTGCTGTCAAGTTTGGCTGAGCATGTCTACTTTGCATGATAAAAAGCACATCAGCAACTGGTAGAAATTCTGAACATCTCTGGCTTCTGCGAAGAACCAGACAACTGAAGCCATGGAAAGCAGAGCAATGACTAAGCATCTGAATAACATAAAGGCACATTCATGCATAATTAACATACAGCAGTTATAGTATGGCTATTCATCCCGCACTTTTGAGAGGCGACAGATTCTTCCTCAATTCTATTCACAAGATGTTAGCTTTCCACGAAGTTCAACCAAGTTTGTTGTGCTGTGTTTCCCCAGTATTGTTTCAAATAAAAAGAACAAATATCATACTGTCAAGCTTCCACCAAACCTTAAACACAGAACTATTTAAGTAAAGACAATTAAAACTGGTGCTTTCATACTAAAGCTTATGTTTCTGGCACACCAGGACTCCATTTAAACAAATACACTGGAATCTTAAACAGAAAACAGGACATGTTTATAGGGAGGATATACAGAGATTTATTTAATCAGGTTTACTATTTACAGTTGAGATCACTTTCACATACTACTTTGCTACTCTACATGGCTACATTGTTTCCAATCCCATTTAAGATCTACAGTCTAACAG